GTTTTGGTGACGGGGGACTGTGCTATAGCACGAAAAATTAAGTTGCGGCAGCCTGTCAAAGGATGAAGAAGTGGCTTCCCCTGGGAAGCTTGTGAGTAAAGGGGTAAAAGAGCAGTAGCAAAAGAAGACAGAGGTGAAGGACAACTTTGTTCAATCTGTTGAGCTTGAGGATGTTTAATGCCAAAAGGCAGAAACCAATGCACCGGTAAACGTTGAAGATACAGAAAAGGGGAGTTCCCTAATTGGGTGAGGTGCCTAAGAGAGAGAAGGTTTAGGATCTTGGATGAGTTCCACTCTCCCTGGCCTGTGCCTGTCCTCCCCGAAGCCAGGTAGCCGACTTGTCCCTCTACCTCTAGCAAGTGGCCAATTAGCCTTGACTGGATGCCTCCTAAGCTAGAGGGTTCAGTGGCAACCTCGGCAGACTCTCTCAGTCAATTCTTGGCTGCCCATATCTGCCCCTCCTCTCAAGGACCAAGGCTCAGTGACTCCCTGCTGCCTTCCCTCTCCCTGTTTTGTCAGGCCGCCTAGCTATTTGGAAGGCTGCTTTTCATTCCTTCCAGGTGGACAAGATCTAAAGCGTAACCACCTTGTCCTATTTGTCTTGTCAGTCAATCGTTGGAACCACACACCCCAGCATCGTGGACTGCGTACTGAATGTGCTGTGCACGATGCACCTGGAAGTCCAGTATGAAGGTAGGGGTCTGCTCCACATCACAAGAGGTGGCAGTGAGAGCCAGGCAGATTCTCTCTGAAAAGTTCTCTCTTATTCCCAAAGAGCCTTGTCGAGTTTCCTGGATAGCCTTGGCAGATGGAAGATGCTGGTTTGGTATTGACCGGCAAGTTATTCAGAAAATGACAGTCATGTTCTAAACCTCGAATTAGCCACATTGTGCTTTAACGGGTCTTAGAATCTGCTTGGGTCCAGATCTGGCTTTGGTTCCCAGTCTTACGTGGTGCTTCTGTCTAAACGGAAATCATCCTGAGGTCTATCCTTCTTCTAAAAAACTAAATTGGATAATGGTAGTATTAGTAAGTTTTCATCTATCGAGTACCCCTATGTGCCAGCCACTCTCAATGAATCATTTCACTTAATTCTCAAAATAACCACAAGAGTACAGGGCCTAGTGCATATTAGGTATTTGAATGTTCAAATTAATGAATGGTGGGGGGTAGGTATTTTTTTATGTTTTTCAAGCTAAAGCATTGAAGCACAGAGAGATTAGTATGCTTCTTAAGGTTACCTAGCTAACCAAATTCAAACCAGATCTGTCCGATTTCAAAGTGTATGCTTTTAACATGTAGAACATGGCAGGTGTTTATAAGATGTTATTTCCTTCCCTGTTCCTATAGTGGTTCAGAGAAGGGAGATTTTGTTTTCAACAGGAGGGCTGGAGGAAGGGTTCACCAAGAAGGTGGTGTTTGAGCTGAGCTTTGGAGCATGGGGAGGATTTAGGATGATAGAGAGGAGCAGCAGAGGGCATTCTGGAAAGGGAAATGGTATAAACAAAGGCCTAGACATAGGGAAAGTACAAGACGTGGGACATGACAGGTAGATAGATCATTTGGTGGAGGTTTCGTACAGTTCTCAGCCTAGGAAGACCTAGAAAGGTAGGCTAGGGCCAGATTGTCAAGCAAGTTGAATACCAGGTGGAGTAGTGGGTACTCCCTTCAGTAGGTGGCATGGAGCCATTGAAAAATGATCTGTGAACAGCTAAATGGCAAGAAAGCACTGCCTCAGGAAGATTGCCTCTGCACAGCGGCACACTAGGTGGGCCAGAGCCACAGGGAGACCTGAGGCTGGAAGCCAGTTGGGAGGCCTTTCGGGTTGTTCAGACAACAAAATAAGAATGTGTTGATCTAGCTGGATACAGAGGCCCCAGAAAGAGAGAGAATGGACAAAACTAGGAACTGCCTGGGTGTGGAGAATGAGATGGCATATGGAAGGGGGAACGGGCAGGGCCAAGGAGGCCAGGACAGAGAGGAAAGGTCTGGGCATCGGTGCATATCGGGACTCCTATGTCCAGGATGACAGGTTGAGCCCCAGGTCTGAGAAGTGTGGAAGGGCCAGAAGGAGCAGGCAGGTACTGGGGTTCAAGTATGCAAGTGAGATTCTGGGGAAGATCAACAGAGGTCAATATCAATTTTTTTTTTTTTTTTTTAATATCAGTCGTATTTTTCTTTCAGCAGCGTTGTCAATTTTGTATTTGTTTGACCCCGGCAGATACGCCTGGGTATGTGGACCTTGTATGTTGAGAAATAATGCTATTTCAAAATCCATTACCAGCTAGAGCAGAGTCTTCTGGCTGGGGAGGAGTTGCCAGTGATGGGGTAGAGTGGCAGGGGCACCTGAGTAAAGGTCAGGCCAGCGGCAGAGGGTTGTTGCTGGCACTGGAGCAAGGGAGTGACCCGGCAGAGAAATCATGTTAGGAAACTTAATCAAACAAGCCCAAGGAGACTAGATTGGGTGGCCATGAGACCTCCCATCACCCACCCTCCCTCCACGTGGCAGATATGGCCATTCCCACTCATCCGCCCCTCCTCAGTTGAGCATTTCTACTCTAAGGCCTTCCCTGACCTGCCTTAAACCTCTGCACAAATGCCAGCCCTCCTTCCCTTGTACCTTCCTGCACCCTCCTCCCTTCTAGTGCCTCCCTCCACTGGTGCAGTTCTCTCCAGAATGGTGACTTTCCTTTATGTAAAATGTGTACAATTTCAGCTCAACTCTAATCATTTTTGTCCTTTTGTCCTCAGCATAGTCCCTAGCATATGTTAGGTCCTCAGTACATGTTTGTCGAATGGATGAGGGAGTGAGTGAGTGAGTACTGCACATACATACCATCAGCGACTACTTGCCTCTGTGCCTTTGTCCTCCAGACCTCTGAGCAACCTCAGGCCAGCACTGAGTCTGACTCATCTCTTTTTTCAGCTCAGGGCCTGGGACATAACGGGTGCTCAATAGAAGTTTGTTGAATAAATTTATGAAAAGTGGCTTAGCTTCATTTATACTGATGAACCCCTCCCGGCTTCTTGCCATATCAGGCTCAATCTTAGAGTCCCTCTGTGATTATTACATGACAGCTACCACTGCGGCAGAAGCAGCAGGAGCATGAAGCTATGCCACTGCCTTTTTGATTTGATGTCTGCTCATGTGATGACAGTGAAACTCTGTACCTCAAAATAATTTCAGATATGTCAGACTCATAACAGGTGCTCAAGAAATGTGTGAATGAATAAATTATTCTTTTTTACCGGGTACTTCAAAATAGTCTTCATGTAACTTAGGATATAGAGGATGCGTATGGAATGATTGTCCACTAGAGGGAACTATTTCACATGACCGGTGACACAGAGGTTGAGGGCCAGAATACAGTATTCGGCTTCGGCTCACACTCCTCCAAAGGCAGGGCAGGGAGGCTCTAAAGATCTTAGATGTAATCCTAACAGTGGGGACCAAAGAGGATCAGAGATGAATTTCCCTGACTTTAAGGATGCCAAATTGCAACACCAAGATGAAGCACCCCCCAGGATGATGGCAACAGTCAGGATGGAGAATCCTGTGACCAAGAGGAGAGGGTGATATAGCTGAATGGACTAACCTTAAAAAGACAGGGTTGGTTGTTTTTTGAAAACAAATAGTGGTTGAACATCTGTGCTGTGCCAATTACTATGCCAAGTACTGGGATTTTGTTTGTGTTTGTTCATATTGAAGAGGAAAATGAACGGTTTGGAAGGAGGAGGGTAAGAATGGGGTGTGTGACATCCTTCCCCTGAGAAGAATACAGGGAAAGTGGAATTCTCAGGCCGAGTCCGGTGAAAACAAGAGATGGAAAGGCTTAGGGGGTCTGGCGACTCTGTCCCTGGCAGAGGGTGTCAGTGGTAGAGGAGCCAGGTGACAGCCTCACCTCTTTTTTCGTTGACAAGTCCACCGTCCCACCCCCAAATCCACCAACCTGCCTGGCCCACGTTCTCTGCTTTCTTTCCCATTGCAACAGTATTCCTGCTCCCTCACAGGCCACCTCTTCTACGTCTGCTTGTTCTCTGAAGCACGTTCCCTCAGAACTCTCTTCTGCAATTACCCTCTCCCTTTTTCTCTGGTAGCTCATCTCCACTGACTTAAAAATATGCTCTGTATCTCTCCTCTTAAAAAGGAGCCCCTTCTTGGTAATCTATGGATTAAAAGATATTTAAAAGATATATCCCATAAAAAAAGTAAAATTAAATTATAGTGTTTAAAGATGCATACCCTTCCTTAACCCCAAGTTCTCCGCCAGCTTCTCATTTTTCCTTTTTTTAAATAATTTTTTATTTTTCAATACAGTTGACATACAATATCATACTAGTTTCAGGTATACAACATAGTGATTAGACATTTATATAGCTTATGAAGTAAACATCCCAGTAAATCTAATATCCATCTGACACCATACATAGTTATCATAATAATATTATTGGTTATATTGCTTACACTATACTTTACAACCCTATGACTATTTTGTAATCACCAACTTATACTTCTTAATCCATTTCCCTGTTTTATCCAGCCCTCCAGCCCTCCTACCATCTGGCAACCATCAAAATGTTCTCTGTATCTATGAGTTTGTTTCTGTTTTATTTGTTTGTTTACTTTGTTTTTAGATTCCACATGTAAGTGCAATCATATGGTATTTATCTTTCTCTGACTTATTTCATTTAGTATAATACCCTTTAGGCCAATCCATGTTGATGCAGATGGCAAGATCGCATTCTTTTTTATAGCTGAGTAATATTCCACTGTGTGTATATGTGTATATATGTGTATACCACTTCTTCTTTATCCTTTGATGGACTCTTAAGTTGCTTCCTCCATTTACAATATCTAGACTATTGTAAATGCTGCAATGAACATATGGATGCATATATCTTTTCAAATTAGTGTTCTGAGTTTCTTCAGCTGAATACACAGAAATAGAATTACTGGGTCCTTCTTTGTCCCTTATTATAGCCTTCTTTTTAAAGTCTGTTTTGCCTGGTATAACTATTACTACCCCAGCTTTTTGTTTGTTTGTTTTGTTCCCATTTTCATGAAATATATTTTTCCATTCCATTAACTTTCAGCCTATATACGTTTTTCAATCTGAAGTGAGTCTCTTGTAGGGAGTCTTATTTTTTTTCATTTTCTTCCTACTTGATCTCTTAGCTACTTTTGACCCAGCTGGTCAAAAGTAACTTGCTCTCTTTGCTTGGCTCCTGTGGTACCACTCCCAGTTTTCCTCCTGCCCGCTGGTTTTGCCATCATCTCCTCTGCTAGTTTCTCCTATTTCTCTACCAGATTGTTGGGTCAATATACTTCTCATATCTCTATCAACACATTCTCCTGTGTGATTTTTCTAGTCCTGTGCCTTTAAATATCATATATATATTATATATTCAGACACCAAATCTGTATCGGTAGCCCTGATCGCTCCTCTGAAATCTCCAAGTGGATACCTCACAGACATTTGGAACTTATAGCCAAAATATAACTCTTGATTTTCTTCCCAAAACCTGTTCTTCCTCCTATTTTCAGTAAAAGGTACCACCACCAATCCAATTGCTCCAGTAGAAGGTAGAGAAGTAATACCAGATGACCTTCTGTCTCTCCCCTCCCACCCCGTCTCTTCTTTGCCAAGTCCTCCAGGTTCTATCTCCACTTACCTTCTCTGTCCCCACTGTGA